AAACTAGCTGAAATACTGAGGAGGGGAGAAAGAACAGGGTCAAAATTAAAAATCAACAACTGAAATATCATGGATCCTTATCCATGCAGTTTCTGCGGTTGATAAAGTGCCATTTCTTCTAAGTAAACATGAATAAAACATTTAATGAGCTTTACCCCTAATTGCAGTAAGAGCATCTCTTCAAACCTTAGAGCATTACTGTCAGGAGAAAAAATAAATCGTTTCTAGGAAATATTAATATCAAGAAGAGATCTGCTATACTTCCTATACCAGGCCCTAATGTCCTTATCTCATATATTGAGGCATATGTTAATGCAGGAAGAACAGTGGAATTGGAGAGATGTGCCCAGAGCCAGAGATTCTTCGTTCCCTTAGCTATTTCTTCAACGCTCTTGAAGGCATTCCAAGCTGCTCTCTTCCTCCTGCGCAACTCAGGAGCCAGGTCATTCGTCATGTTGACTTCTCGACCTAGGTACACATAACTGTTGCATTCGGAGATGTTCATCCCGTTGAGAGCAAATGGACCATCATGAATGAGACTGTTTCTCATAAACATCTTTGTGAGATTCAGCTGTGGTCCGACCTTTCCACACTTACGGTCAAAGTCGACCAGCATTTGTGCCGCTTAGCTGATGTTTGGCGTTATTAGAAAGATGCCATCAGCGAAGCGGAGGTGGTATAGTTCCCAACCATCTATCTTCACTCCCATTCCTTCCCATTCCAGTCGTCGCATGTCATTCTCGAGGGTAGCACTGAAGAGTTTCAGTGAAATGGTATCACCCTGCCAAACCCCTCTCTTGACGTCAATGATCACCTCCCTGTAGAATGGTGAGATCCTTGTAGTGAATTGCAATACAGCTCATGGAGGATCCTGATGTATTGAGTTTGAACGCCCTGTTTGGCAAGGGCTTGATGACTGCTTTCGTCTCAACAGAATCAAAAGCCTTCTTTAAATCAATGAACTTTAGGCAGAGCGGCATCTTAAACTCTCAAGAAACCTCAGTGAGCTTGGTTATCATGTGGATATGGTTGATCCTGCTGAATCCTTTTCAGAAACCAGCTTGCTCGCATGGTTGTCCTTCATCTACTGTTCTGCCAATCCTATTCAAGATGACTCGAGTGAATAGCTTGTAGAAGACAGACAACAGGCATATTGTGCAATACTGCCAATGTCGTGGATGTCTCCCTTCTTGTATAGTAGTATGGTCCCGCTGTTTTTCCACTGGGACAGAACCTTGCATTCAGACAGGTAGTGTGTGAAGAGCCGAGCCAGTGTATTGATGAGTACTGGTAGCAGATTCTTCAGGTATTCGGGTCTGACCTTGTCTGGGCTGGCGTCTGTTCACTACCTCCACTTTCCAGCCACCGCCACTCTCCAGGACGCTTTCCGGACACTCAGGTCAAGAGTCACTCATGAGTGAAGCTTCACAGAAACAGGGAAGCGGAACTCTGTGACCTTGGACTCCAGGCTCAACAGATCCGGGAACAGAGATCATCTGCCTGCTCCCAGCAGCCCAGCAGAAATCCATTACCTCTACTACCTCCACCACTCAGTCACCTCCAATCTCCAGGATGCTTTCCAGACGTCACGGCAGCTTTGCAGCTGCGCAACACATCATAAACCACTAAATACAAGATTACCACACCATATTTGATGGGGTTCAAATATGGTTTGAACCATGGGAACACCTGCAAGTACAATTAGAGGCCACCCTAAAAGCCTCTATCCCTCTTGGAGAGGCGGACAAGCCATCGAGAGTGTCCCGCCCACACGGCAAAACATGGCAAGCTATGCGTGGTGTATTCGATATGCCAAAACCAGTAAATGCAATGGGTTTTATTCCCCTGACCCTGAAAGAGCTGCCAATATGGTAGCATTAAGAGGGATGAGGAAGGAGAGGCTGATAAAATATCAGGGCTGAACTAGGCTGCCAAAACGAAGAAGGACAAAAATGACTGTACTTTCTGTACTTTCAATGCACGTACACTGTCATGGGATGCATCCATCGAGGACCTGATGGTGCAAGAATGAAAGATCAAGTACGACATTATTGACATTATTGGTCTGACCTAGATGAGAAGGCATCAATCACATCATGCCATCGACACTGGAGAAGAACTGTTCCTCGGAACATGGAGACAAAACAGTTGTCGATGGTGTCTGTGTCCTTGTTAACACAAACTTGGCCATAAACATTGATTCATTTGAATGTCTAACAACCCAAATTAGACGATTACACTTGAATAGATGTGGCTCACTGCCGGCAGTTTCTATCTTTGTTGTCTATGCACCAACATCCAATTATGATGATGGAGAAATTGAGAAGTTCTACATGGAGCTGGAGAAGTTCTTTAAGAAGACCACACCTTTTACAAGATCATTGTTGGTGATTTTAATGCCAAGATAGGCTCGAGAAGATCAGTCAAAGAACTCCACATCAGGACCCATGGCCTAGAATGGAACGAACAGGGAGAGTCTGTCTGAGTTTATCATTAGATCAAGACCATCCATGGTAACTCACAATTCCAGAAGGACAACTCTAAACGTTGGACATGGGAATCTCCTGGTGGACGGTTCCACAAAGGAATTGACCACATCATATTCAATCAACGGTCTTGCCTGACCAATGTCACTGCTGTCCCAAAATTCCAAATGGGGTCGGATCACTGTCTGCTTCATGCATAATTCTACTTCACAGAGTGGGGAGAAAGGTCTGCAAAGTTTAAGAAGAGAACTCCCAGAACGACCACAAACTGGGAGCTCTTTGGCACTATTGCAGCAACATGGGAAGATGCCATCATTGACGAGGAACACGATCGACTGGTTTAACACCTCTCTGATTGTGGGAAGAACACCCAGAGAGAGATAGCCACAAAATGATGCCTGTCTTTGAAAACTCTCGAGCTCATTCTCCAACGTGGCTTGTCGCAAGCTTCAGGCAACCACAAGCGAACATCCAAGCTCACAAAGCAGTGCAGAGAAGCAGTCAAGGAAGACCTCAAAGAGAGAAGAGCAGCAGTGCTGCCAGATGCTGCAGAAGCTGGGAAAAGCATTTGCAACGCCCGCCTGTCTCTCGCCAACTACAAGACGAAGATGACTGCCCTCCAACCTCCTGATGGATCTATCACATCTTTCAGAAGGGCAATGGAGAAGATTACCCTTAACTTCTACTCGGATCTCTTCTATAGCCATGTCCACCTGCCCACATGCCAAATTCCATGGAATGGATATGTCATTCCCAATGTTCTCCCTTAGGAAATCCAAAATGCCTTTTCATTGAATAGCATCCAAAAATGAACACATTTAAATCATTTGCTTAATGTTGTTTTTATATCTATGCTGAACTAATTTCATTCATATATTTCGTTCAAATATTTAGGTTGTATTATTTTTAAAAATATTCTGTTTTCTGGATTTATTCACTAATATAACTTCTGCATTTTCTTATTTTCTATAAACTTTGAAAATGGAATGTTTTAGATTCTTATATGACAACTAGGACAGAACATCTAATAAAACACACAACTGGATTTTGAGGAGAAAAATTTTGTGTAGTGTCAGTGATATTATTAATAGTTACATTGTGAGCGTCAGAGCCATAGTATAACAGGTAGGGCACTTACCTGTAGCTGTAGTCATGTAGCTGACCTGGGTTTGATCCCCGCCTCCCATATAGTCCCCTGAGCACTGGAGTAATCCATCAGTACAGAGCCAGGAGCAACTCCTGAGCATCTCCAGTTGTAGCCAAAAAGCACTGACCTGTCCTGTCCAGTCCTACCCTTCCGTTGTTCATCGATTTGCTCAAGTGGCCCCAGTAACATCATTGTGAAACTTGTTTTTACTGTGTTTGACATATCGAATACGTCATGGGTCCAAAAACAAACGAACAAAATTTATATTTAATTCGTATTTACTTAGGAACCTCTCAGTATCATTAAGGATTATTTTATTGTTTCATTAATTCAACCAAGTAGTATGACCAAATGTGAATTACTTCAAATTATCCATTATATATTTTCTTCTTAGTACATATTTTATGACTGCATATAAATATAATGTATTTTATAGAACAGGAAAAATTGAAGAAAATAACAGAATACACATTGTCTTGTTGACCTCCTATGACTGTTTACAATGTAATAAAAATTTATCTAGCCTTAGAATTGAACCTTGTGAAAAATAATGTTCTTGGTAAAACTGAAAAGGTTATTTATATACTAACAAAAACACATCCAAGTAACCTTAGGAGTTTCATCAAGCATCAGTACTATTACTTTGGAACTGAAATAATGAATTTTTTTAATTTGGTGGAGAGGCAAGTATGCCCAGTGCTACTCAGGGCTTATTTCAGTACTGCTGACAGTGCTCAGGGGATTATATCTGGTGTCCAGGACCAAACTAGCATCAGATAATGTGAGACAAGTACTTCCACCTATCTACCATCTCTCTGGCCACTGAGAAATTCAGAAATTCAGAAATTCAGTGGAGTCTTTGATTTCCACCATAACTTTTTAATCACAATACTCTGGTGTGTAACTTTGTTCCTTAGCACTATAGCACTGTCCACCAGTTGTTCATCTATTTGTTCAAGCGGGCACCAGTAACGTCTCCATTGTGAGACTTGTTACTGTTTTTGGCATATAGAATATGCCACAGGTAGCTTGCCAGTCTCTGCCATGCGGGCAAGATACTCTCAGTAGCTTGCCAGGCTCTCCAAGAGGGACAGAGGAATCAAACCCAGGTCAGCCACAACCTACCCACTGTTATATCACTCCAGCCTGCACTTTGTTCCTTACCTCAGAAAATTTATAAATAGATATAGCATAATGAATTTAATTACTTTATAAGGAATTATAGCATAATGAATTTATGCTGTAATGAATTACAGCATAAATGAATTTAATTACTTTAAAATACCTATTATGTATACAAGTAAAACAAGCATTATTTTATGCACATTTCTCTTTTTTCATATAATTATATATGCTTTTTGTTTTAGGTTTCCTCAAGAACTGAACATGGGAAAAATCAGTGCTGAAATTATGTGGACCCTTTTTGCTCAGGATATGAAATATGCTCTAGAAGGTAATTACATGCATTTATATTCATTGTACATTTTAGGTAATTTGAAAATCTGTGCTCATTTTGAATGAAGATACTTGATGTATCAAAATGCTGCTATAATGATTTGAGTTTTCAAATGATTTTCACTTAGTGTAAATATAAGATTACAGAGCATTTAAAATCACAAAAGAAGTTAATTCAACTTTAATCAAGTTGTGTAACTTGTAAGATCAGAGTGAGTATTTTAGCTACAGAATAGAAACAAGAATACTTTAAAGCAGTTTGTTTACCAAAGCAGATGAAATTATGGTGTGAGTGAATATTAAGTTGAATATTTGTCTTTGTAAATTGGAAATGAAATTTATGATTAGGCAGATAATATTTTGTGGAAGGTCAATGGAAAGGCTGTACAACAGAGTTGTATCAATTACTCACCAGCATGCAATGTAAATAGGGGAACTGTATAGGCCCTGTTTAACAATTTTACCAGTATTTGATTATCTTCATTATAGTTCCGGTTGGAAATAGACTCTAAACCTGTCCTTCAGAAGAATTTCCTGTCCTCAGAATAATTTTCTGTGCAATCATTGAATAAATACATACTGAATTCTGAAATGCTAAAGGTGCATCAATTCACTCAGTCTAACGAATGCATCAATCAACAAGACATGCTCTCTAATCTCAACAATACCATGGGGATAGTTACAAGTTAGCAAATGATAGAAAATTGGGTGGTAAGAGCTAATGGTTTTGAAGGTTATTGGTTTTGGAAGTTAATTTGTAGTAAATGGAGAAGTAGCACCTGCATCAGGGTTAGGACCACAGTATAAGAACTGCTTTCTTAGAGAAAATTCTCCTGAGAGAGTGTTATCTTGACAAATATGTAAAGTGTAATCATTATTACTATCACTATCACCCCGTTGTTCATCGATTTGCTCAAGCAGGCGCCAGTAACATCTTCATTTGTCCCTGTCACAAGCTAGTGTAGCCCGATTACATAATGGGGGCTCTTTCAGGGTCAGGGGAATGAGGACCATCATTGTTACTTTTTATGGCATATCAAGCATGCCACGGGTAGCTTGCCAGGCTCTGCCGTGTAGGTGGAATACTCTTGGTAGCTTGCCGGGCTCTCTGAGAGGGATGGAGGATTTTGGGGCAGCCTCTAGTCACCTTTACAGGTGTTCCCAGTCAGGAATATATACAAATGTAAAGTATAAATGGAAAATAATTCTGGAAATAAATAAGCAAGAAAGACACTAATATGTATTACCTATAATACTTGATTTACTGTTGAACTGTGGACCTAATACCTAGAAATGGAGCTATTTTTCTAATTCTTAAATTATATCAAAACCAGATATTTCTGTTATAGCTCATATTAGAGTGTGCTCAGTTCTTGACTTCAAGCAGTCATGAGACTGAAAACAAATGACCAGATACAAGATGGCTGGTTAAGCAGAAACTATTTGCAGAAAGGAAGGAAAGGACAGGAAATCTGGGGAATGGAGTGTCTTTAAGCAGGATCACCTGAGATGGTGATACTTCACATTTAATGTAGAAAATTTCTTTAGAGGTATTACTTTTCTGATAACTTCATACCAATTTCCCTCTTTAACTTATATTTCTATTACTCAGAGTGTGTATTTCTACTGTACTCATCTGTTTCAGCTCTTTTTCATTAATCAGCCCTACATTCTCTTCCTTTACCTTCAGATCTGTCTCCTACCAACCACAACTTTTGCATGTTTATTGTTTGAATAATATGTTTTTTTCTCAAACTCCAAGCTCATTCCTGCCAATAACTTTAATTCTTGTACTTCTCATTATTAGAAGTTTCATTATTAGAGCTCAGCTTTGCATTATTTTCTTAGATATAGTATCCCCAGGAATAACCTTGTTTTAATTCCCTATTTATTTAAAAAAAAGCTAGCAACTGATTATTACATTTACATGTTTGTGTATTTTAGTCATTCATTTGATAACATTTTTTCTGTCTTCTTCACTGCTTTGCAAGTGTTTTGTTCAACTTTTTACCAGTAGTTTTGTCACTTAGAATGATACCTTGAAATAGAACCTAACATACTGTTGAATAATTACTTTGCCAGGTCATCAGAAATCGATTAGTGAAAAAGACATTGGAGAAAATTTTATCTTCTAATCTTTTACTGTGTGATTTAGGGACGATTTCAAGAGATCAACATCTTTGTGTTTCATTGGGCTCACCTGTAAAGTGACTGTTTCTTCCTAGGTTGGAGAACTGGGAAATGGAAAGAATGTTCCAGATTGGAGCAGTTCCAGGTGGCACTGGTTGCCAGCATGCATTTTGTTGGGGTAGAACCTTTGCTTTTGCTTACTAGCAATATTTGTGTAACTGTTATAGCGATTATTTTATATTATCTTTACTTAATAAAAAAAATAAGTACTGGGCCAGAGAGCTACAGCACGTAAGGTGTTTGATTTGAATGCTCTGATTATAGTTAATCCCCATCATCCTGTGGAGTCCCACCAAGAGAGATGCCTGAGCTAAGAGGTTCCTACCCAAGCCCAAGTTCAGTCAGACGCAGCCCCTCAAAAAAAATTACTGATTTTAGATATCTAAATAGAGCATTCATGTTAAAAAACAAACCTGGAAAATTAGTACTTGAAGCAACAGTGAAAATATAGGTGTTATACATCAATAGCTTTGATCAGATACTGAAAATGTTTATACACACTATATAAATATATATACACACATATATGTAAGCGTATATATGTTTGCATATATATGATTACATATATATATGCAAGTTTGCATAATCATATGTATACAGTTTGGGCCACACTAGGCAATGCATCAGCATCACACTGTCAGGTCTTGGGAGACCATATAGGAGATGCTGGCGATCGAATCCAGATTGACTACGTGAAAGGCAAGCTCCCTACTCAATCAACTTATTGTTCCAGCCTCTGAAAACAGGTTAATAATTCTATCCAATAAAGAATGCTAAAATTTCTGAGTCTGTATCATAAAAAAAAGGACTGGGTCCTGGGTTGGAGCTCTGTGGTAGAGTTCATACCACCAGTGTGTGGGGGGAAAATTTAAAAAAGAAATAATAGTACAGAATAAAGAGTCGTCTTGTGATTCTCCTTAGCTATTCTTAGGCAAAAATTTCTTTGATATAAATATTCCATTTGACAAAGTTTTTGAGATTTTTGAGATTGAATTGAGAAAGAATTCACAATTTAATCATTTTTATGCTTTCATATTCATATACATTTTTCATTAAATCATAATCAATGTAATAAAACAATTGAGTTGCAGATTAAGGTCTATGTGTTTTCTTCATCCTGCCATGGGAGAAGGCTTTTTTTCGGTACAAAGATTGTACTTATCTTTGTATTCATTCTACATCAATATAGAGTATTTCCTGTGAAAAAAATATCATAGAAAGAAAAATACTGGAAATACTGCATTATATAGAAAGAGTTGATTTTGCAACATATATTTCTGATAAATTTATTCTGTATGCTTGCAGGTAATAATGAACTTATGATCATTTAGAACTAAGCTTTATTTCAGGTAGCATACTTTCCTTTTACTCAATAGTGTTATATTGGATAATTTATTAAACTCAGTAAGTCTCAATTTTAATTTCTATAAACTAGGGGGAAAATGCCCACTTTATCATGTTTGTGTAAGAAGAAGAAAGTCAGATATGCAGGCAAAAGGGAGTACATTATTAGCACATAAATGCTTATCAAATATTATTTGTTATGAAAATATTGGAGCGATAGCACAGCGGTAGGGCATTCACCTTACAAGCGGCCAACATGGCTGACCCGAGTTCGATTCCTCTGCCCCTCTCGGAGAGCCCGGCAAGCTACCGAGAGTGTTCGATATGCCAGACACAGTAACAACAAAGTCTCCAATGGAGACGTTACTGGGCCCGCTCGAGCAAATCGATGATCAATGGGAGGGCCTTTACTTTACTTTACTTTATAATTTAATAAACAAGAACTTATTTATGGAACCGTTTTAAATATCTAGGTGCCTATAATTTATGTTTAATTAGTAACTCCAGTTGACCATAAAAATTTTATTTGTCATGTTGTTATCTACAAAACAGTTCTCTGGCTATCATTTCTTAAATCAGGACAATATGATTTAGGGCACCAATTATGTAATATTTGCATGTGTCTTCAAAGTCTTTATTAAGAGCAAATTCGGCTCCTCCACAAAACGACAAGTGAATAGTTTATAGGATGCACTGGTATTCACCTCATTTATAGTTAATAATTCTGTTCAAGATTGTTTGAAATTACTTATGACACTGTTTCTTAACTAGGAATTTGTGTTTGGGCTTCAAGTCATATCTTCGAGTTAAATCCATATTTATAGGTTGATGAAATTGAAGAGTGGTATGTAAAATATATGTTCTGGTGTATCTTATTGTGGTGTACCTCAAACTATTATCTTCTAATTTGTCCTCTTTCTAGTCTGCTCATAAATAATTTTCTACTGATTTTCATTTCTGTTTTCACAAATCACTAATAGGATAATTGGTTTCAGACAGATTTTTACAGTGAAGGGTATAAGTTACGTGGAAACTGATCTCTTTCTTTTAATATTTGCTGCTTTCAAATTTCCTTACATTTATTAGGGTGACGAAGTTACCAATCTACCTCTTTAGTCTACTTCAGATACTAGAAATGGCACAAAGGTTAGTTGTCTTGTACTTTTTCTTGTGAAAATCATTCAAAACTTCTTTGATTTCTTTCCCCCATCCCTTTATATCACAAAGGTGTGGAAACTCTTATAATTAACAGTTATTAAAAAATTAAGTAACAGTTATATTTGTGGTTGTGTTTTTTAAGAAAGGGGAGAGGCAAGTTTCTCTCTCTCATTTAATTGAGAATCATCAATATTACTTTTGTCCATTCAAAGACAAACAACTGATAAATGCTCAAATGAAAAACATAATAACACAATGTTGAGAGGTATTGCGGGGTGGGTGCAAAGCTCAGGGCTTACTCCTGGC